TTTCAGGCTGAGCCAACCTAGGAGGAAGGGGGCAGTTCGTACCACCTCAGGCTGGGGCCGACATGAAAGCGATAGCTCTCATAGCTGTCAACCCATCACGGCTTATTCTTGTCGCAGGGAAATTGAGATTTCAGGTCCATACCGGGGCGTACGGCCGTTTGCAATAGGGGCACATGTTTGTCCATTTGTTTGTGTTCCTCCCTTGCGATGGGGACCTTTGTGAGATGAACGTTGAGATTTACCAGGGCCACGGGGTGACCAACACGGTCTGAATTTGTTCTGTGATAAGGTCGGGCGCTGATGGCGGGTTGACAGGTAGGGCTGTAAACGGGTCCTCCTGCACTCATCCCTCGCCCGCTACAGAGGAAGCATTCAATCAGTTTGCGGAAAAATAAAAACACCGAGGTTTCGAAGAGATTTTGTGAAGCCGCGAGTCAAAAGCGCAGCCCTGCAACGGCCTTCTCACGCCACCGCTGATGGAAGGGCTTCCCCCCCCCCCCACTACCAAAGGGTTGAATGGCTCCACGAGTTAGACGCCATCTCTACAGAGGGTTCTAGATTTGAAGCTTTCGTGACTGCAAGGATTCATATTCTTAGGTTTTTTTCGGTAAAGTCACGTAGGTAAAAAATTAAAATTAATCAAAGTAAAATAAAATAAAAATCACGACGTTTCGGAGGCAACACAAGCTTCCGTGTTGCCTCCGAAACGTCGTGATTTTTATTTTATTTTACTTTTATTAATTTTAATTGTAATTTTTTTACCTACGTGACTTTACCGAAAAAACCTAACAATATCTACAGAGGCTGTTTTTTTGTTTGTTTATCGGCCTACTCTTCCACGGCGGCCCAGACGCATCGGAAGAGCGGCGTGGCCGAGTTGCCCGCTCCTCACCCCCGCGGTCTGGCCAAGGCAAGCCCCGATCATGTTGCTTGGGTGTCGGGGGCACGGGGGGCCCTCAGGGAGACAAACTTGGGTGGATGAGGAAAGCTACCTTTAGATCCCACGAGGAATCGGTTGTAACACGCTCGCTCGCTCTCTCTCTTTTTTTTTAGAGGCAACACATTTATTTGTAACATCAACACGCAACCTAAAGGGGTAACTGCCACTTCACCAGATACAGCCTCGGGTGGTAGCCACCCAGCTAGGAGTTACAGCTACGAAGGGTCTGACCCTCACCCGGGTCCCGGCCACATGTTGATGCCTGTAGAGCTTCCCTCTCTCGCTCTCTTTCTCTCTCGCTCGCTTTCTCTCTCTCTCAAGAATGTGGACACAAGCTTCTCTCTCCGACGTTTCGTCACGCATCCCAGAACCCAACGAGCGGTCCGCATCTCGACATTATCACGGCAGAGAATGGAGTTTGGTGGGTGGGGTGGGGGTGGTGCCATCAAAGACTCGCAGATTTACTCTGATTTTTTTTTTATAATTTAGCGGGATTTATCTTCTTGGTTCTTTCGGTAAAGTCACGTAGAATGGAAACAATAAAATAAAAAAATAAAAAATATTATGTTTTATTTTTATTATTTTAAAATAAAACATAATATTGTTTTATTTGTAGAATGGAAACAATAAAATAATAAAAAGAAAACATCATATTACGTTTTATTTTTATTATTTTAAAATAAAACATATTACGTTTTATTTTTATTATTTTAGTGTTTCCATTCCACGTGACTTTACCGAAAGAACCAAGAAGATGAATCCCTGCAGTCACGAAAGCTTTAAATCGAAATTTATCAGGATTTCTCCCGCAAATAACAAGTCGGGCCAAGGCACCGTGAATGAGCTGTGTCGAAGACGAGGGTTCTGTCACGAACTTTCTGACCCCGTGTCCCCTACTGGACCGTCTGTGAAATAGCGCTTCATAACTCATCGGATTTCTCCAGGATAAATAGAGATTCTGATTCTGCATCGGGCAAGGGGTTTACTGTATAGGATTAGACGAGGGTTTTCTGTATGGGATGAGACGAGGGTTCTGTATGGGATGAGCCGAGGGTTCTGTACCGATGGTTTACCTAAGTGTGGAAGGCAACTACTATGCCCATGGATTGAATTAGCATGTTGCATTCGCGTGGAAATACGGGGACACATTTACACGTCTTGTTTTATCACCCAATTAGTCCAGCCGGCTTCAAACTGCAAAATAAATCATCAAACGGTTTCAACTCGAATATATCTCGGCATACATTTACACACGCACGCGTGCATGCGCACACACTCCACATGCACAGGTGAATGGTGAAACGTATGAACACGGCATACGTACGCAAGTCCACACCAATGCACGTGTGCAATACTGTACACACAGGTGCGTGCGCGCGTGCATGTGCGTGTCTTTGCGTGCGAGGGCTGATGTAAAGGTCTGTGAGCTGACAGAGCAGTGGACGTTCCTGATGAACCTCTGTTCATTACCCTGCACGGCATCATTGCCCTATCATCGCCATCATCAGTCCGGTACCTCTGATTAGCCCGGTTGGCTACGTACGGTGCAAAAGAAGTTCAATATGCACACATACTGCCCATAGATTCAACACTGCCCATAGACTCAACACTGCCCATAGACTCAGCACTGCCCATAGACTCAACACTACCCATAGACTCAGCACTACCCATAGACTCAACACTACCCATAGACTCAGCACTGCCCATAGACTCAACACTGCCCTTAGACTCAACAGTACCCATATGCCCTTAGACTCAACAGTACCCATAGACTCAACACTGCCCAAAGACTCAACACTACCCATAGACTCAACACTGCCCATAGGCTCAACACTGCTCAGCTGAGTCTCTCTCTATGAGTCTCTCTCTGTGAGTCTGTGAGTCTCTCTGTGAATCTCTCTGCGTGAGTCTCTCTGTGTGAGTCTCTGAGTCTCTCTGTGTGAGTCTCTGAGTCTCTCTGTGTGAGTCTCTGTGAGTCTCTCTCTGAGTCTCTGTGTGAGTCTCTCTGTGAGTCTCTCTCTGTGAGTCTCTGAGTCGCTGGTAGCCAGGGCTGAGTCTCTCTCTGCGAGTCGTGTGCAGGGCAAGGCGAGCTCAAGCACGTGCCAGAAAAATAACGAGCGTTCATCTACTCCCATGACATTTGATCAAATGTCTGAACAACGGTGGGACTCTGAATGGGAACTCATCCAAAGAACGAGCGGATTCACCGCTCCAAGACAGCCCAGATACTTTTCTGATCACCCTGCACACACGTGATACGAGCATTGTGTGTTTCTGTGTTTGCCCGCTTATGTGTACAAGTGTGTACGTGTTAGTGTTTGTGTGTGTGCTTGCATGCTTATGCGTTTGTGTATGTCTGTGTACGTGTGTAGATGTGTATGTGTGTATGTATGTGCTGTGTATTGTGTGTGTACGTGTGTGTATACGTGTGTGTATACGTGTGTGTACGTGTGTATATGTGTGTACGTGTGTACGTGTGTATGTGTACGTGTGTTTGTGTGTATGTGCTGTGTATTATGTGTGTACGTGTATGTGTGTGTATGTGTGTGTATACGTGTGTACGTGTGTGTGAGGTGACCAAGGTTCGATTCCCGCTCACGGCCAACACCGGTTACGATCATCTGAACCGGTCCTGGGCCTCCTCTAGGTCGACTCGGCCTCAAATGAGTACCTGGTGTGGTGTGTAAACATCGCCACTGGGGAGACAAAGGCGGTTGGGCGTGGTGCTGGCCACCCACCCCCTCGTGTACCGTTCCGGCCTTCGTAGGTGCTCGCTAACAGCACTTGCCCCTACAGCCTGTTAAGGCTATACGGGGGATCTTTGTGTATGTATGTGTGTGTGTGCGTGTGTGTGCGTGTGTGCGTGTGCACGTGTGTGTGTGTATAGGTCCATGCGTTTTTTCCCCCCCATAGGTTAGGCAGCAAAAAACGTAGCTAGTTTCCCCGTGAGGGAAAGTGGTTTCATCCCAATAAACAAATCGAAGAAATAAATTAAACTTTAACGAACGCTAATTTAGAAGAAAAAAAAAAATTACAATGCGGAGAACAGAGCGATGAATAAAAGTTAACGCGAAAAACAGAATGGGTTACCAAAACGCAAAACGGGCTAAGTCGGCGAATTCAACGACAAACCACAAACAGGCCTCAAGGTTAACACTGACGGATCAAACAATTTCAAAAAACATAAACCCAACATGGGCTAAATAAAGCGGAACGAAAATCGGCAAAAAGGTAAAAAAAGAAACAAGGAAAGTTAAGGGGGTAAGGGGGGGGGGCCGCACGAGCAGCAGCTGCAATCGCCGCCCCCCCCCGCCCCCCTGACCGGCCGCTAGAGGAAGGGCCTCTCCCGTGAGAACGTCGCTCTGGAGGGCGTCCTCCTCCTCCTCCTCGTCAACTCTTCCAACGCCTCCCGGAAGACGGTGGCGGGCGGTGTGGAGGGTGGGAACGGGCTCGGTGGGTTGACCGCCACCCGCACTTGAAGCTCACCGCACGTGCGAGCGAGGGGGCGAGCGAGGGATGAGAGTGGGGCGAGCGAGGGGGCGAGCGAGGGGGCGAGCGAGGGGGCGAGCGAGGGGGCGAGCAAGGGGGCGAGCGAGGGGGCGAGCGAGCGGCCTGTGGCCATGACCCCCGACTACGGTCACAAGCCCCCCTCCGCGTACGTGACGGAGAGATTCTGCGCCATCCGACCGGCCGCTCCCCCCCCACCACCCCGCTCTATCCGCCGTGCTTGCTGACCGGCGCGGTGGTGGCGTCAGACGAGAAATGATAACGATTCTAGATTTGAAGCTTTCGTGACTGCAAGGATTCGTACTCGGTAAAGTGACGTGGGTAAAAAAAAATGAAATTTAAATTAATAAGAATAAAATAATAAAAATCACGACGTTTCTTCGGAGGCAACACAAGTCTCCGTCATCAGGTGGGACCGTCACAGCCAGATTTGCTGCATCGATTGATATAAAGGATGATGGCAGATGGTCAGCAAATCTGGCTGTGACGGTCCCACCTGATGACGGAGACTTGTGTTGCCTCCGAAGAAACGTCGTGATTTTTTATTATTTTATTTTTATTAATTTAAATTTAATTTTTGACCTACGTGACTTTACCGAAAAAACTAACAAATTGATAACGACAACAACAATCGACAGGGAAGTGGGGTGCCGCGTCTCCCGAGTCAGCTATCTCGCAAGAGACGCTTCGCAACGAAGAAGGGAAACCCGCTCGCGATGCGACAATGGCACCGTGTTGACACGCCGGGGTGGGCGGGCGGGGGGGGAGTCGACTCGTTTGAGGCCGAATCAATCTAGGAGAGGCCCAGGACCGGCTTAGATGATCGTAAACCGGTGTTGGGCGTTGGCCGCAAGCGGGAATTGGAACTCGGGCTTGCCGGGATTCGGAGCGCAGCGCGCTAACCGCTGCGCCACCGCTCCCCCCCACTCCACGCTCTTGCGCGCACGCACGCAATTGCCGAGTTGTTAAGTCGCACGCCCAACTTTTACTTTAAAATATCGGGTGGTGGTGGTGGGGGGTGGGGGGTGGGGCAGAGGTCGCAATCAGGTACCCGATACCCGTACCCGATCCGATACCCGGCTACCCGTACCCAGCCGGGTACGGGTAGCCGGGTAGCCGTTTGCGACCCTGGTGCGGCCGGCTACGGGTAGGCCGTGAGTCACTGGTGAGTAGCCGTTTGTCACTCATTACGGGTAAGGGTACAGGTAGGGAACGGCTACCCATACCCCGCCGGGTACGGGTACGGGTACCCATTTGCGACCCTGGTGCGGCCGGGTACGGGTAAGGAATCAAAACCCATTTGTGACCTCTGGCGTGGGGGGGAGGGAAACGTGCAGCATCTCACGATCCGGAGAACACGGTAACAACTTCTTAAGATTTTCCGACAATTTGCACGGGAGGTAAAGGCGCGGCCCTGCAATTGCCGGCTCCGACGCTGGCCGAAGGTTCGCTCTGGGAGAGCCCGTCGCGCGTGTGCGTGGTCTACTACTGGACATCTGTGAGAGGCAAAAAAAAAGAAACAAAAAAAATCTTCACAGCTCACCAGATTTCTCCCAGGACAAATAACGCGATTCTGATTCTCTTCCCCCACCTCTTCCGCGCAGTTCCCAGACGATCTCCGAAGAGGTGCAGGTTTACCCACGCCACTCCGCGCCACGCCCCGTCGTTCCGCGTGACCCGGCCGATTTGACTCGGCGGTGGCGAATCGCTTTGCGGTGTCCAGAGAGGGATCCGTGAGGCTTTTCCCCGACCATCCGACGACGGGGGAGACGGAGTGCCGGTCCGTCGCCCCCCCGACGGCTTCGCACGCAAAATGTCGCCCGCTCGATTCCGGAAGGACACGGTGGGTCGTCGCCACGCGTCCGAGTTGCACGTTTGCAGTTGAAATCTTTTGTCGGTGTTTTTTTTTCTAGGTCTCCCCCCCCCATTGACCAGGACGTCTCGGGGGCTTGGGTTTCATGCTTCCGTGCGTTATCATCCACGTGTCGTCTTCCACGTGTTAATCATGTTTTCCATATGTTATCCATGTGTTGTGTACCATGTGTTGCTGTCTTCCATGTGTCGTCTTCCACGTGTCTTCCATGTGTTGCCTCCCAAGTGTTACCCATGTGTTGTTGACCACGTGCTATCCATGTGTTGTTGATCACGTGTTACCCATGTGTTGTTGCCCACGTGATACCCATGTGTTGTTGACCACGTGATACCCATGTGTTGTTGACCACGTGATACCCATGTGTTGTTGATCACGTGTTACCCATGTGTTGTTGACCACGTGATACCCATGTGTTGTTGACCACGTGTTACCCATGTGTTGTTGACCACGTGTTACCCATGTGTTGTTGACCACGTGATACCCATGTGTTGTTGATCACGTGATACCCATGTGTTGTTGATCACGTGTTACCCATGTGTTGTTGACCACGTGATACCCATGTGTTGTTGACCACGTGATACCCATGTGTTGTTGATCACGTGATACCCATGTGTTGTTGATCACGTGTTACCCATGTGTTGTTGACCACGTGATACCCATGTGTTGTTGACCACGTGATACCCATGTGTTGTTGATCACGTGATACCCATGTGTTGTTGATCACGTGCTATCCCCAGGTAAATGGCATTCTCCATCGCGCTGCCGTTCCCCCAACCGGATCGTTGCAGTCGGCTTCACTCGAACGACATGAGGTTTGCCGGCACCTGCAAAGCGTCGCAGAAAAAAAAAACACTCGGTCACTCAGCCGTCACTCAGCCGGGAACCAACGGTCGGTGACGCCAGTTGTCTAACCGTCACCCGGCACAAGTGAATGGTGAAACGTATGAACACGGCATACATACGCGAGTCCACACCAATGAACATGTGCAATACTGTACACACAGGCGTGTGCGTGCGTGTGCGTGTGTGCCTTTGCATGCAAAGGCTGATGTAAAGGTCTGTGAGCTGACAGAGCATTGAACGTTCCTTATGAACCTCTGTTAATTGCCCTGCACGGCATCATTGGCCCATAATCAGTCCGGCACCTCTGATTAGCCTGGTTGGCTACGTACAATGCAAAAGAAGTTCAACATGCACACATATTGCCCATAGACTCAACACTGCCCATAGACTCAACACTGCCCTTATACTCAACACTGCCCATAGACTCAACACTGCCCATATACTCAACACTGCCCATAGACTCAACACTGCCCATATACTCAACACTGCCCATAGACTCAACACTGCCCATATACTCAACACTGCCCATAGACTCAACACTGCCCATAGACTCAACACTGCCATAGACTCAACACTGCCCATAGACTCAACACTGCCCATAGACTCAACACTGCCCATAGACTCAACACTGCCCATAGACTCAACACTGCCCATAGACTCAACACTGCCCATAGACTCAACACTGCCCATAGACTCAACACTGCCCATAGACTCAACACTGCCCATAGACTCAACACTACCCATAGACTCAACACTACCCATAGACTCAACACTACCCATAGACTCAACACTGCCCATAGACTCAACACTGCCCATAGACTCAACACTACCCATAGACTCAACACTGCCCATAGACTCAACACTGCCCATAGACTCAACACTGCCCATAGACTCAACACTGCCCATAGACTCAACACTGCCCATAGACTCAACACTGCCCATAGACTCAACACTGCCCATAGACTCAACACTGCCCATAGACTCAACACTGCCCATAGACTCAACACTACCCATAGACTCAACACTAGCCCATAGACTCACCACTGCCCATAGACTCAACACTAGCCCATAGACTCAACACTGCCCATAGACTCAACACTGCCCATAGACTCAACACTACCCATAGACTCAACACTACCCATAGACTCAACACTGCCCATAGACTCAACACTGCCCATAGACTCAACACTGCCCATAGACTCAACACTACCCATAGACTCAACACTGCCCATAGACTCAACACTGCCCATAGACTCAACACTACCCATAGACTCAACACTACCCATAGACTCAACACTGCCCATAGACTCAACACTGCCCATAGACTCAACACTACCCATAGACTCAACACTGCCCATAGACTCAACACTACCCATAGACCCTGCCTCTCCCGAAGGTAGGACCCCCCCCCCCCCCCCCACCACGAGCCACGCCCCACCCGCCACCGCCCGAACAAGCGGCACGCCGAGAGGCCTCGACGATTTTCACGTTCCTCCGATCGGCTGGGTGAAAGCAACGAGCGACGACGATCGGGACAAGGCAAAGATTTGCACGCAGCGGACGCGACGAATCCAGTTGTCTCACCGCATCTCACCGCATCTCACCGCATCTCACCGCATCTCACCGCATCTCACCGCATCTCACCGCATCTCACCGCGTCTCACCGCGTCTCTAGCCCAGGGGTTACCGCCCCACGCGCACCGGTGGGCGGCTGCCACTGTGCAGCTCAATACGAACGCGCGTAGAGGAGGGGGGTGGGGGGTGGGGGCGACGTTGCCGCAAGGCTTTTCCCAAACGAGTAGGTTTCGGTGCGACCCGTCGCATCTCGGTCAAATCGGTGGCCGTGACGCCGACGCACGCTGCGGCCTTTCTACGCCCGGCGTTTACCGTCAACGCTCCCCCCGCTGCCGGATTAACCAGGACGGCCGCCACTGCAGCAGCGCGGTGGACTGGGCGGTGGACCGAGCGGTGGACTGGGCGGTGAAATGAGCGGAGGACCGAGCGGTGAAACGAGTGGTGGACTGGGCGGTGGACTGAGCGGTGGACCGAGCGGTGAAATGAGCGGTGGACCGAGCGGTGAAACGAGTGGTCGACCGGGCAGTGAAATGAGTGGTGGACTGAGCGGTGGACCGAGCGGTGGACCGGGTGTTGAACCGGGCGGTGGAGTTCACCTGCGGACGGTTGCTCTTGCAGGAGCTGTCCAGGTGCCTGTGCCAGAGGTGAGCGTTGAGCCTCGTCCCCGCCTGGAACTTGTACGAGTTGCCTGCAGGGGATGACAGCGACGACGACGACGACGATGACGCCACAGCGGGAAGAGACAGAGCGGTGAGGGGGGGCCATGGGGGGCACGGCGGTGAGGGGGGCACGGTGGCACCTCTAACTAGAGGGAATGAGAGAGCACCTCTCCCCAGGGCTAGCCGGCCTTCTCTCCCACGCTGGCCAGCACACCTCCCTCTTGAACAACGGGTGGCACTACCCACACGTTTCACCTCGCCGCACGCGGTGACCCTGCCCATCGACTTCACCGCGGTGCACACCCATGGGGGGGTTGGTGGGTAGGTAGGAGTGGGTAGGAGGAGTGGGTAGGGGTGGGTGGGGTTGGTTAGGGGTGAGTGGGTGGATAGGTAGGGGTCGATGGGTAGGGGTTAGGGTGGATGGGTAGGTGTGGGTGGGTGGGGTTGGGTTGGTGGATGGGTAGGGGTGGGTGGGTGGGTAGGTGGAGTTGGTTAGGGGTGGGTGGGTGTAAGAGGTGAGTAGGTGGATGGTTGGTTGGGGGTGGGTGGGGTTGGGTTGGTGGATGGGTAGGGGTGGGTGGGTGGATGGGTAGGGGTGGGTGGGGGTGGGTAGGGGTGGGTGGGTAGGTAGGGATTATGGTGAATGGGTGGATGGGTGGGTGGGTGGATAGGGGTGGGTTGGAGGAGTGGGTAGGTGGAGTTGGTTAGGGGTGGGCAGGTGGATGGGTAAGAGGTGAGTAGGTGGATGGGTGGGTGGGGGTGGGTGAGGGTGGGTGGGGTTTGTTAGGGGTGAGTGCTTGGATGGCTAGGGGTCGATGGGTAGGGGTTAGGGTGGATGGGTAGGTGTGGGTGGGTGGGTGGGTAGAGGTGGGTGGATGGAGTTGGGTAGGAATGGGTGGGTAGATGGTTAGGGTGGGGACGGTAGGGGTGGGTGGTTGATTATGGTGGATGGGTGGGTGGGTAGGGGTGGATGGATAGTAGGTGGGTAGATAGGGGTGGGTTGGATGAAAAGTGGGTGGATGTGTGTGTGGGGGGGAGTGGGGGGGGGGATCTCCGGATCGCGATTCCCCGGGCGTGCTGATCACCGCAGCGGCTTGGCTTGCCGTGCATCGTCAAAACCGCCCGCTGCTCTGGCATTCAACGGTTCCTTCTGTGCCGAGTTTTGGCCCACCGTCTACCCACGGAACACATCCCGACGGCTGCGACGAGGTCGTAGGGTCAAAGCCCCGGGGGCTTTGACCCTACGACCTCGGCTATCTCGAGGGAAAGAGCTCGCAATGGCCGTGCCAAGAACATCGAGAAAGCATCTGGGGTCAGACCACCGCAGATTAAGTGCCTCTCCTCCCACGGAGTTCATCAATGGATGTTTAGTAGTAGGTTTTTACCCTTTAAACTGGTACAAAACTGACACCTTTATACAAGGCATCATGTTTGCAATAACCACAACACAAGTAGTCAAAATGCAAACAAAAAGAAACAACTCTGTTTGCATTTTGACTGCTTGTGTTGTGGTTATTGCAAACATGATGCCTTGTATAAAGGTTTTTATTACTTCCCTTCTACGTGACTTTACCGAAAGAACCAAGAAGATGAATTCCTGCAGTCACGAAAGCTTTAAATCGAAAAATTGTATAAAGGTGTCAGTTTTGTACCAGTTTAAAGGGTAAAAACCTATTACTATATTTTGCCACTGGTAAAGGAGATGTCTCATAGTGCAATGGACGTTCGTCAGAGTGAATGAGAACATCACCCGAGGTCCCGGGGGGTCATTCGTGCCCCCGAGTCTTTAAGTGTCTCGACAAAAAATAAAAATGGGCTCACATATAATCGCCATGTTGGGATCATGAGGGAACACACCCCCCTAAGGTGGTACGGCTAGGTTCAAGCCTTGGGACTCGGTGCCACTTTGAAGACCCTAACGGCTATTGAGAGCGATGCCGATGTTCCACATCCGAGCGTTTTGGTCCTTGGAGACACTCGGCCGGCACACCTGAGAACCAAGCTTCAAACCCTGGGCCTGGCCATCTTTGACGGCTCATAATAGCCACGAATCACTGCGAGTCTGGGTTCGACCCCTGTGGATGGGTGCCTTGCTTGCGAGCCAGCGACGCCGAGAACCCGGGTTCGAGCGCCCGTGGTCTGGGCTTCCCGTCGTCTTGTGAGCCAGAGACACACACCCCGCGCGCCCGAGTTCGATCTTCGGCTCTGGCCGTCCCGGGGGGGATGCGATGCGAGCGTTGCTGCGGCCGCTGCCGCTCACCTCGCTCCGAGTCGGTGAGTTGGAAGACGTCCGGGTGCTCGGGAAGGTCGGGCAAAACCGACATCCAGCCCAGCACGGAGACCACCTTGCACGGCACCGACTTAAACTGCACGGGTGGCACGAAGACACCTGATGAGTTAATTAGTTAATGATGACGTCACCCTGCTGCTGCTGCTGCTCTATTTAAGGCCTAGATCAAGTTCAAGTTCATTTATTTTGTGTAGCCCTGTGAGCCATTCGGCTCTTGAATCGGGTGCAACCGCAACAAACAAAAACATGAACCAGAAAACATCTTAAAGTGGCCAAGTGACTATGCGCAAACAGAAAATCCACGAATAGACAGCAAAACATTGCCGAAAAAGCACCGTACACCAACGCTGTGTGCAAAAATCCCAGTGGGATGCAAGTCAAACAACAACAACAACCACAAGACAACTTAGATTAAGGCCATCAGTCTAACTCTGTACTACAACAAACATGGCCAACGAATTTGCCCGATGATGCTGGATGCAATTACCAGCGAAACGTCGTACTCAAATTGTAAATGTTGTGGTTTCACGCTTCAACACACCGGTGGGCTAAAGCAGTGAACTATTTTGTCTTTTGTCAACGTGACACTTTTTTACTGATTGGCTGTGTTGGGTGGTGGAGGGTTACGACACATTCATAAATAACGAGGACAAAGATCCCGTCCGACAGCCTCGAACAACAGACTCCGTTGGGAGCAAGCGGCGCCTACGAAGGTACTCGCCGTGACAGGTAACGCGCTTAAGGCTGAGTCGACCTCGGGGAAGCCCACGTCCCGGTACAAATATTTCGATGCCGGTTGCTCGGGTCGCCTGGGTTCGTAGCGTAGGGCGCGACCCGCAACCCTGCCGCTCCCGCGTTTATACGAAGACAAAGTTCCCCTGTGTAGCCTTAACAGACTGCTGGGGCAAGTGCTGTTAGCGAGTAGTACCTATGAAGGCCGGCACGGCACACGTGACGGTGGGTGGCCAGCACCGCGCCCGGCCGCCTTCGTCTCCCCAGTGGCGATGTTTACACACCGCACCAGGAACTCATTTAAGTTTGAGTCAACCTAGGAGAGGCCCAGGACTGGTTCAGATAATCGCCACTGGTGTTGGGTCTATGGGTAGTGTTGGGTCTATGGGTAGTGTTGAGTCTATGGGCAGTGTTGAGTCTATGGGCAGTGTTGAGTCTATGAGCAGTGTTGAGTCTATGGGCAGTGAGTCTATGGGCAGTGTTGAGTCTATGGGCAGTGTTGAGGCTATGAGCAGTGTTGAGTCTATGGGCAGTGTTGAGTCTATGGGCAGTGTTGAGTCTATGGGCAGTGTTGAGTCTATGGGCAGTGTTGAGTCTATGGGCAGTGTTGAGTCTATGGGCAGTGTTGAGTCTATGGGTAGTGTTGAGTCTATGGGCAGTGTTGAGTCTATGGGCAGTGTTGAGTCTATGGGCAGTGTTGAGTCTATGGGCAGTGTTGAGTCTATGGGCAGTGTTGAGTCTATGGGCAGTGTTGAGTCTATGGGTAGTGTTGAATCTATGGGCAGTGTTGAGTCTATGGGCAGTGTTGAGTCTATGGGCGGTGTTGAGTCTATGGGTAGTGTTGAGTCTATGGGCGGTGTTGAGTCTATGGGTAGTGTTGAGTCTATGGGCGGTGTTGAGTCTATGGGTAGTGTTGAGTCTATGGGCGGTGTTGAGTCTATGGGTAGTGTTGAGTCTATGGGTTGTGTTGAGTCTATGGGTAGTGTTGAGTCTATGGGTAGTGTTGAGTCTATGGGTAGTGTTGAGTCTATGGGTTGTGTGTATGTTGAACACACATTGAGCCGGATGCTGCCGAGGTGTTGGGTTTGAGTACGGGGTCACAGCTAGGGGGAGTAGGTAGGTGAGGGTGGTGGTGAGGTGGGTGGTGGGGGGGGGTAACGTACGTGCTTCCTCTCGGTGGCCTTGAGAGCCTTGGAGGGGTAGTAGATGAGCAGCGAGCCGCTGAGGGCCACCCAGAACCGCGTCCATGATGACAGCTACACACAGACAAAGATCCCCCCCCACCCGGCATAGCCTTCAACACACTGTTGGGGCAAGTGGCGGCGCCTACGAAGGCCGGCACTGCGCACGAAGGGAGCGGGTGGGCAGCGCCACGCCCGGCGGCTACGTACGATGTGAATGAAGTTCAACATACGCACATACACACTGCACATAGACTCAACACTGCCCATAGACTCAACACTGCCCATAGACTCAACACTGCCCATAGACTCAACACTGCCCATAGACTCAACACTGCCCATAGACTCAACACTGCCCATAGACCCAACACTGCCCATAGACTCAACACTGCCCATAGACTCAACACTACCCATAGACTCAACACTACCCATGGACTCAACACTGCCCATAGACTCAACACTGCCCATAGACTCAACACTGCTCATAGACTCAACAGTGCCCATAGACTCAACACTGCCCATAGACTCAACACTGCCCATAGACTCAACACTGCCCATAGACTCAACACTACCCATAGACTCAACACTGCCATAGACTCAACACTGCCCATAGACTCAACACTACCATAGACTCAACACTGCCCATAGACTCAACACTGCCCATAGACTCAACACTGCCCATAGACTCAACACTACCCATCGACTCAACACTGCCCATAGACTCAACACTACCCATCGACTCAACACTGCCCATAGACTCAACACTACCCATAGACTCAACACTACCCATAAACTCAACACTGCCCATAGACTCAACACCGCCCATAGACTCAACACCGCCCATAGACTCAACACTGCCCATAGACTCAACACTACCCATCGACTCAACACTGCCCTTAGACTCAACACTACCCATAGACTCAACACTACCCATAAACTCAACACTGCCCATAGACTCAACACTACCCATAGACTCAACACCGCCCATAGACTCAACACTGCCCATAGACTCAACACTACCCATAGACTCAACACTACCCATAGACTCAACACTGCCCATAGACTCAACACTGCCCATAGACTCAACACTGCCCATAGACTCAACACTACCCATAGACTCAACACTGCCCATAGACTCAACACTGCCCATAGGACTCAACACTGCCCATAGACTCAACACTGCCCATAGACTCAACACTGCCCATAGACTCAACACTGCCCATAGACTCACACTGCCCATAGACCTCAACACTGCCATAGACTCAACACTGCCCATAGCTAACACTGCCCATAGACTCAACACTGCCCATAGACTCAACACTGCCCATAGACTCAACACTGCCCATAGACTCAACACTGCCCATAGACTCAACACTGCCCATAGACTCAACACTGCCCATAGACTCAACACTGCCCATAGACTCAACACTGCCCATAGACTCAACACTGCCCATAGACTCAACACTGCCCATAGACTCAACACTGCCCATAGACTCAACACTGCCCATAGACTCAACACTGCCCATAGACTCAACACTGCCCATAGACTCAACACTGCCCATAGACTCAACACTGCCCATAGACTCAACACTGCCCATAGACTCAACACTGCCCATAGACTCAACACTGCCCATAGACTCAACACTGCCCATAGACTCAACACTACCCATAGACTCAACACTGCCCATAGACTCAACACTGCCCATAGACTCAACACTGCCCATAGACTCAACTCTACCCATAGACTCAACACTGCCCATAGACTCAACACTACCCATAGACTCAACACTGCCCATAGACTCAACACTGCCCATAGACTCAACACTGTCCATAGACTCCACACGCGGTCCACAGCCGTCCATCGCACGCAGCAAGCAGGGCCACGCTGGGCTGACGAAGGAGGGCGGGGAGCGGTCTTACCGCCGGCTTGCGCCCATCCTTGAGCAGGGTCTTCCTCTTGAGCGCTCCCTCGATGGTGACGGCGCCGGCCGCCGGGCTGGTCACCCCCGACAGCGGAGTGGCGGGGGAACTGCAGGGGACACAGAGACAACTTGTATTTAAGAGCTTGCATCTTGAATCGCTGCCTCACTTGATGCAGCAAATCTGGCTGTGACGGTCCCACCTGATGACGGAGACTTGTGTTGCCTCCGAAACGTCGTGATTTATTATTTTATTTATTAATTTGAATTACATTTTTTACCTACGTGACTTTACCGAAAGAACTAAGAGTAGGAATCCTTGCAGTCACGAAAGCTTCAAATCTAGAATTAGAACAGAGACAACTTTTTAAAATTCCTTTTTTTTCAGTCAGGCCTGGGCCCCGGGCCAGATTCGAATTGCCCTACGAGGCCGGCGTACGAACGCTTCGCTACCGGGTCAGCTCGGCAAATGGCCGGTGGGAAACCATCCGGGGCTCTGCGCCGGCTCGGCTCGGATGCGCCAGGGGAAAAGCGGCTGTTGGCGTTCGGACGGGCGGCGGCCCCGGTTCACGAGCACGTCCGCCGCGTGGGAAGACCACGAGCTCCAAAATTCGTGGTCAGAGTTCGAATCGGCCTCTCCATTCATTCGCCCACTCCGTGTGAGGACGGCAAAACGAGCACCGCTTCCTGCGGGGGTGGAGCAGTGCGGCGTAGCGGTTTCGCGCGCCGAGCTACCAAGAACAGCGCAGACGCGAGTTCAACTCCCGGCCACGGCTAGCAACCGGTGGGGGACGCCGGTTCGCTCCTAACGCCACAGCAGGGCCCAACCGGGCAAACGTCGCCCGCTCGCAAATCCCCCACGATTCCCACCACCACCGCCGCCGCTTCCCCGCCGAGCACCCTCTGGGCGGTACAGCGAGCGGGACGGCGAGAGCAGGCGGCGTTCCGTTTCTGCCGCGGTCGTCGTGGAAGCAAGAGGAGGCCACGGGGGGGGGGGGGGGGGGGGTGGGGCGGGAGTGCAAGGGCACACGACTGACACGGCCACCGTCGCTGCCGAAACCGTTGGCGCGCACGGGGGTGGGGGTGGGAACTGTGTGAGGGTTTAGCCGAGGTTAAGAGCCACGGTGTTGGCCCACGTTGCAGACCCAGTGGTACCGTGAAGGAGTTTGGTAATCGCGGGGGGGGGGGGGGTGTAAGGAGGAGGAGCGGCGGACAGATGATTAGTTTCAATCTCCACGCAGACGTTTAAAGGAAGATGCTGCCCGGTTCTTAATTCCAACCAGGCAAAGTGGCTGAGACCCATAGACTCACACAGAGATCCGTAGACTAACATGCCAACCAGGCAATGTGCCTGAGACCCATAGACTTACACAGAGATCCGTAGACTAACATGCCAACCAGGCAATGTGGCTGAGACCCATAGACTCACACAGAGATCCGTAGACTAACATGCCAACCAGGC